AAATTTTTAGATTTAATTATTTGCCTCCTGGATGCCGGCATTAATATTGAAAAGGCATTTGCAGATGTCACTTTGTGTTGCTTGGGAGAGAAAAGAAGGGGGTTGGTGCGTGGAGGCGAGGTGGGCACCCCAGGCAGGAGTGAATGCAGCGACCGGCCTTTCTGGGACTGGCTTTGCACTCGTTTATCTTTGTATCCGCCGCTCGCTGACGCTGGCTACGCGGCCTCTACATATTCAGCATATTCTAATGACATTCAAAAAGAAGCCGCTGTTGTGTTGAGGAGAGGGCCTTGGAGCCAATTTGAAGGACTATACCCTCATGTGTCACAATACTGGCACAAAATCACTAAGTTTATTTTTAACCGCAACACATATCCATCTAATATGTTTTTCTCCGCTGTGCAGCATCTGCCTAATTAAACCCCAGGCTGAATGACTTGAAAACACTGCAGTGGTGTCACTCGCTAAAATATTTCTGTGGTGTGTGTGAGAGGATGGTAGTTTGACATTCTCATCTGCACAGCGCAACACTTTCCTTTTCTTCAGTCATCACTTTTTGCATGTGTATTACCTGGTTTATGCAGAGGCATCACAGCGGCTTGCTCTCCTTTTCTGGAATAGAAATTGAATTTGCATGAAATATGCTCACACCAAATTGCATCTGACTCTGGGAGGAGGTAATACGTGGCAGTCGCCCCTGCCAGAAATGATTGTGCTCAGGAAAACGCTAGACGATGATGATGTTGATGAAGTATTCTTCTGTGCTGAAATGGGATGCCAAAAGAAGAGCAAGAGGTCCTCCTTTACAGCAGTGGTTTCTCTCACTTTCAACAATATACACGATCACTTTGTGCTCAAAGGATTGTGACAAAATCCACTACTCACATGTGAAGGTTCTACGGAGAGAGAAAACCAATGGACAACCTCGCTAATATTACTTAAGCTACTCTTAAATTATTTATAAGTGCAAAATGTCTATTATGTAAAATACATACAGTTGGTTTATCAAAAATATTTTACTAAACATTTAGTGAGGCTTCCATATCAGAGTAAAGGACTTATTTCTTTCCCTTTTTTAAAAACAGCTGATCACAAAACCACATAAAGATTCATAGAGTGCTTCCCATATTCAAAGATGTGTATTTAATAGCAGGATAACACAATCTAATGTCACTGATGGCTAATGTATTTTCTTCTAATATCTAACGAACACTCGTGCATCACAAGGTGCTTAAGGTGAAATAAACAAATAGCAGTAGTAGTCATTATGAGAGATAATGCGTAGTACTCTAGTTTAGCATACAACTGGTCAGGATGCTTCATGTAAACACAGCTTTGTGCTTCAAACACAAGTGAACAAGTGAGTCACCAACAGCTGAATACATCACATTTTCTTTTTAACGCATATTTTCAGTCTAATGAGCCTGAGTTGTGTTCATTGTAAGAAAAAGAGTTGCATTTTTTATATTGTCTTTCTTTGTGGTTAACTCAGAGAGAAACTGTCAAAACATCAAAGTGTGTAATGGGCCAGCTGCTTTTGTGTATTTATTGCAAACATTATCAAGCTTTGACAGTAAGCAGCGTGTTAACATTGGACGACTATAGATGGTCATAAAGATAAAAAACAGTAGAGCTTATTATGTGCCTTAAACAGCTCATAACATCTAATTCAAGGGTCGCAAAGCTTCCTGTTATATGCAACTTTTGGAGGACTTTTTCCAATTTAGAAGATATATTTCCCTTTTGTTTCATATTGTTAATCACTATGGCAATGGTCCTATTTTTTATTTATTTATTATTTTTCATTTTGTAACCCATTGATAAAGGTCATGTTGACCAAAGTAGGTTGTGAAACAAAAAAACTATGTACAGGTTCATCTCTGTTATTTGAATTTGTTGATTAAATTTTTTATATTTATTTGTATCTTTGGTGTGATGAAAACGTTGTTATAGCAATTACCAACGTTGCCATAGAAATTTAATAATTTTACTTTAGAATTGTGAAAAGTCCTTTAAAAAGAAGCGAGAAAACAGGAAACTGAAACTCATGAATAATGTTCCTGTGTATTGAACAACACTTAATATAGTGTATAATCAGACTCAAAGCATCTAGTTATACATTTTTTCTGACTTAAAGTTGCACTGTGTAACTGTTTGGTGGTCTGTCTCCATGGAGATGTACCTAAAATGTTCCACAGTATAGCCATAAACTTATGAATGTCCAATGACTTACGAGCTGAATTACAGGTTAGATTTGTGGAGAGACAACCACACTCTCCGTAAGATTGAATGTTTTTTAAGATATTGGACAAGTTAGTGGACAATTTAAACCAAAACACTGACATCTCCATGGAGACGAACAGACCCCCTCCAGAAAAGTTACACATTATGCCTTTAATGAATGAGAGATATTATGTTGAACCATTTTTTTCCTCCTCTTCCAGGCCGTTTGTTCGGGGCAGCGGGAGAACAGCCTTTCATTGGCTCCACATTGTCAAGTGCCTTCCCTTTGGTCAACCACCCAGCCTTTGGAGCGCTGTACACTGCCGGAGCGGCACGGCCTGAGTTCGGAGGCCTGGGGTCCTTGGGCATGTCCGCTCTGGCCGCTCACCCTCAGCTAGGAGCCCTCTCTGGTAATGATGATGATAATAATAATAATAATAATAATAATACATACATACTTTTTATTTATACAGCCCTTTTCAGGACACTCAAAGACAGAACAAATATTAAAACAGTCAAAAGGGCAATAAACAAATAATACAAAGCAAATAATCTCTTGCTCTTTTTGCTGCTTATTTAGAATTATTATTACCATTTATATGTTATTATAATATATTGTGATGTGTGAGCTACTGTGTCCAAGAAATTTCACCTGTGGATCAGTAAAGTTTGTCCAAATCTAAATACCAGAAAGATAAAAACAGTTACTCATATAGAGAAAAGTTAAACATTAAAAGTTATTCTAAATTGATGGGTCTTGAGTTTCTTCTTGAAGGTGGTGAGGTGAGTGCAATCATAGAGTTGCTGCACTGACCTCACCGGATGCTCTCTGATAATTACTGTATAATAAATGCATCTTAATTGGTTTCATACATTGATAATTCATGTGTTTTTGGCGTTTCAAACAGAGTGGTGGAGAGCTGCCGAGGCCCATGGACGGGGAGCCGCTGCCTTCCTCCCGTCTTTCATCGGGTTCCCTCCGTTTTTTACTCCTCATATTCAGCCCAACCACAGCGCCAGTCCAGTCCAGATGAGGCTGCCCAGCAAAAACAGCCACTCCCCGCCTAAAGGTGCGTGATTATACTTGTCTATGGAAGTGTTTCAATTTACAGGAATGCTAAAGGATTATGTTAGAATTAGTATCTTAACCAAGTATTATTACCACCCCACTGAAAAAAAAAACATATCCTCAAGTTTCAACAAATTGACGTGCCAACAAATATTCTGTGTAGTGACATCAAACTGGAGGTGTTCTACATGTATCTCTGTAGGTGGAATGTTCATCAGGTACCATGGTGACATAATGCAGATAAAGCCATAAATGTGCTAATATAGTCTGAAAACAATACAAAATGGATTTGCACATCACATTTGCACATCACATTTTCAGTTGTCTGTGATCAATGCAAACATTCGTAGTCCTGTTTAGGAGCTTGATTTTCAACAAAAAGGTGTGTGACTAACTGAAAAACTGTTGGCTAATACTAACGAATCATCTCACCTGTTGTAATTCCAACTAAGTCAGCTCTTTCTGGTCAGATTGTGTTAAAATAAAGATCAGATTAAGTCTAATTTGAGTTACAGAGTTCTTCACAGATCAGTCCTTCCAGTTAGTTTCACACTCCCAGGGGATGTTCATGACATCAGCTGCAAAGTGGCAGTATATATTTTATGTCCTATAATAGAAAATTTAACAATTTTGTTGTGCCCTTAGGCAAGACACCACCTCTTTGCATGTACTGTCTGCAAGTATTATTATATAACTAGTTTAAATATTATTTATAAGTCTTCTTTCTTGTCTGGTTGTTTAATTTGATCACACCAGGCAATGTTAATGTAAATTTGATGAACAGCTAATGCCTAATCATGTAGCACAACTATAACAATTTGCATTGAAAATTTAATCTCTCCCCCTCAACTATCTTCACTTGTTCCTCCACCCTCCGTCACTTTGAGACTTATTTTCAGAGATTTTAACAGCTGCATTGCTCCATTCCTTGTTTTAATCTTAGTCCTGCACTTTTTAATTTAATCATATCTTTTAATTTATCTTGTATTATGTAAACCACTCATGTTAGGCTTGTGCTTTGCCAGCATGTTCGATGAGATAAGTGTATAAATCAATATTTTTATAGGCCCTTTGCAGTTATTAGCTGTTAGTTGGGTGTTTCATTATCTTGTAAGGCTCACTGAGGAGTTGAATAACAAAGTGCATATGTTGTGCATTTCTAGGAATGAATGGGGCAGTCAATGGCAGTGTGGTCTGTCCTCCATCCACACAGTCTGGGAGCTTTTCCCCAAGTCCAGCTCCAGTTCAGACTTCTGCCAAACCAACAAAGCATTCAGATCCCTCCAATAGTCACCGTAGCAGCCCCTCCACCAAGCCAGCAGGACCAGCAGAGAAGACGCATAAAACTAAAGAGAAGGTGAAAAGCAATGCTGTTTTTAACACATTGTTTTATAGTTTTCATGGTCTATGTAATGCCATACTAATTTAGTCAACTAAATCTATAATATTTATGTTTTATTTTAATTATGATAAATTACAAAGCATAGGACACACGTACACACACACACACATGAATTATTGCATGTTCAGCATTGAGGTTCTGGGATCATAAAGTGCAACTTGGATCTAGTCTCTGCAGTTTTTATTATTTGCAAAATATTCTGCACTTTGAGTTGACAAAAATATCTACTTTTAGGCTTGTTTTTTTTTTGTTTTTTTGTTTAGTTTTTTTGTTTATATAGTTTTAGTGAAATAAATATGATATTGATGAAGATGATGACAAAACTTTTTACTCTGCATAATTAACACTAATCCAAACACAACACAATACTGGTATCACTAAAATTTCGCAAACAACAGGCTTGAAAATGTATGCTAATTGATTCTAAATGATTATAGCAGAACAATCAAATGCGGAAAACAAAACTGTGAATGCATACATATAAATGAAAACAAAAGTGAGAGTTATTTTTAGAGTCAACTGTCCTACTTTGCTGTTATATTTAGTTTGGAAGAAGCTAAACATTATACATTATACAAAGATCAGATGAGATATTTTGTTGTTCTCTTTTGATCCAGAAGTCACGTAAGAAGCCAGCAGACGGCTCCACAGCCAGCCACAGTGAATCGGGATCTTCCTCCGACATTTCCAGCGATGGGTCCCTCAGCAGCGACCTGGAGGATCTGCCCGAGGACGATGAAGATGACGACGATGAGGAAGATGACGAGGAGGACGAGGACAAATCCAGTGAACTTTTGGACTCAGACAAACGGGCCAAGAAGAAATCTAAAGTAAGACAAAACATACAATAGTTATATTAGGGAAGTTAATTAGTTAATTGGTCTCAAAATTTCTAAGTATAAATCTTATTAAATGGCTGATCTTACTAAAATTCTGACACACTAGACTGGGGGTCTCCAACCTGTAGCTCTCCACCTTTTCCAAACAGCTTGCAAAGGAATTTCTGAATTCTGTGTATTTTGGTTAATAAATAAAATTTGATTAATTACCTTGGTAAATGTATAATTTTGATGCCTAACTTGGTGCACCGATAAATGGATATTGGTTTATGTTTCATAAACATCTAACTATTCCCCATCTAAGGCTTGCTGTGGCTCTTATACTCTTCTTTGCAACTGCTGAAATTGGTAGTTCGGGAGCGTGCCTATGTTCCCACAGCTATATGTTCCCTCATTTCTAATATATATATTTTTTCCCCAAAATTAGAACCTATGTTCCCACATTTCCTTTATCATCAGTTTGCATCAGATTTTATCCCCATTTCTACCAGTTTGTTTGTCAATTACACCCAATCCATTATCCAGCAGCAGTTGACTACAGATGTAATGTAGAGGTCATGGTGCAAAGGGCCCTAGGTTGAAATCTTGATCTCTGATTGACTCTTAATCATCCCTTCAAATGCGGTATAAAAAAAAATGACTTGAATTAGAGTTTCATTTTGAGAAAAATCTTAGAAATAAAAAGAAAAATTTTAGAAATGAGAGAACATAGGGCTGACCCCGGGACCTCTCTGACATTTCTGTTTTGTAAAGGTAGTTCACTAGAGAAAAAAAGGTTAGAGACTATAGTATATCCAGAAATATTGATACTTGCCACTGATGTCATCAAAACTGCCTAGGGGTATGATGATAACTCTAAGCACTGCTCTATCTGAGGGTTTTTAGACTTTAATCTGATCTTTATTTTAACATAGTCATATGCTAGCCAGCATTAGCCAACAGTTTTTCAGTTAGTCACTCTCACTTTTTTGTTGAAAACCAAACACCTAAACAGGACCATGAACAGTCGTATTGGTCATAGGTTCCTGTCGTTAAAATCCATTTTGTATTTTTTTTTTCATACGATCTTAAAACTTTTTGGCTGTAATTGCTAATGTGTGCAGTTTGTCACCATTGTGTCAACTACTGAAACATCCTGCCATAGAACTATATGTAGAACACCCCCAACATAATGTCACTACAAAGTATCAGTAAGGACTAACAACTGTGTGTTCGCTCTGGCTATGTAAATATGAAATATCATTACCACAGTGAGACAAATATCTTTTATGAATAGCTTGTTCCTCATATTGTGTTTTTCATAGATTTTAGTGTTATTATTATTATTATTATTATAAAAAATACTAGATCTTGCTCTTGCTAAAACTATTTGGACGCAATGAGACAAATCAAAAAGAGAAAGCACAGGGAACATTTTAATTTCAGTATTTTTGCATTTTATTGTTTACAACTTAACACTGCACACACTCATACCACCAGCAGCAATGAAAAATAACTATGGACAGTACAAAGCTAGCAGGCCACACGGTGCACTCTAGTGTTTTGCCTCCTAGTATCTTCATGCCCCGCGATAAAATAATTGAATGTATTATAATAAATTATCATGGCTGAAAGTGTTCTTTCTCACAATGTGTTAATTTCTCCTCAGGTTTTAACTCAGAACAGTGCGAAGATAGACAAACCTTTCTCTGCAGTATCCACAGCAGAGGCCCAGGCAAAAACCCCGAAGGTCCCATCCACGCCTCCAACCCTGGTGCCCTTGCCCCGCTCAGTTTCGCCCCCTGCCCCGTCCCAAACCTCACCGCTGGCCCTGCACAACTCCAGGCCCCGCACAGAGCAGCACTTCAGTGTCATACAGTCTACAGGTTTGGCTGCCAACTCGAAGCCCATGGCACTGGTAACGAACAGGGAGCCTTCGCCATCCTCCTCCCCCATCGCTCTCACCACATCCCCCAAAGCTCTGTCCCGCACGGTGTCCCCCAAACTGGTGCCCTCCTCGTCCCCCCAGAGCCTTCCCCTTTCCCTGTGCTCGTCCCCCAAACCCCTTTCTGTCCCCTCTCCCCCGCGCTCCACCCTCCCCATGTCTACCTCCCCCAAACCCTTCGCTCTGACCTCGCCGGTAACAAGCTCCCAGAAGCGGACTCTAAAGCCACCTCAGCACGCGGCGGGAGGCAAGCCCAGCAAGAGGAAGCTTCTGGAGGCATCGCTGGCGCAAATCAATGAGTTCAGGCTCAAACAGGTATGGCCACTGCTTTTAGAAGTTATTCACATGAAAAGTACCATGAAATACCATTCATATATATACGTATACTTGAACCTTTTTGCTCCCGGCTTGATACATTAGTCACTGGTCTAAAACTCTTTCCGCTAGTGAAGTTTATGGAGGTCTTAAAGGGCCCGTATTACGTTATTTTCTGATCTATGTTTTAATGCTGTTTTCTTGTCAAAAACATACCTGGGGTTGTTTTTTGTTTCATTTACACATGTTTAACACACAAACCCTGCATATTTAGGCTGTGTTTTTCTCTCAAATGGAAAAAAAGCTGTTCCGCCTTTATACATGTGCTCGATTTGGATACTTTCACCCGTGGAGCAGCTGTTAACTTGAAAACTACCGCTTCATGGCATCACATGGAGAAACTGAGAATTTTGAGCTTTCAAGATGAAGATGTAGACAGATTAATAATAAAGTGTTACTCAAACATGTGTGAATGAAACAAAACACAACTCCAGGTATGTTTTTGAGTAGGTAGCAATGTTCTAATATGACTTAAAGCTCACAAGAGTCATGTTGTGAGTAATATAGGACTTTAAAATTATATTACTCACAAAGTCACTATTGGAGATATTGAGTATGTGCCTTATGCATTCAGTTTGTGTCCTGACAATAAAAGGTTACTTTCAGTTCTGTATTTTCATTCAATGACTGACTGTCTCAAGACAATGTGAAGACCTTGTAGCAAAATGTCAGTATAACACACCAGGTTTATAGCAATAGAAAAATATTCAGACAAAAGAATACCTTAAATATATTTCAACAAATGTCAAATTTGAGAAATGTATTCTTCCATTTCTTCTAATTATTAGCTGTAGGCAATTTTTGAGGAGGAACTGGAGTTTTTAAACCCCTCCAGCATTTCTATTCTATACTATTACACATAACAGCCATACACATAACAACCAACTCATGCCTGGCCAGCCAAAACCACACACTTACATGTAGGAGGGACTGGCAGGTCAGGCAAATGAATGGCAATAGCATTACTGTGTTTATATTTACAGATTGAAGTGGTCCACTTGATTCTTAGCTGCTTAAAAACATGAGCGTCAACAGTGTTAGCTAAACGGTTCATGAGACGTTGTTTTATTCTGTCGAAATAGTTTCCCCTTTTCAGTTTCACAAGTATAGAGAAGTTTACAATGAGCCAAATTCCCCCTGTGGTTTCAGTACTGTACTGTATTTCATGGGCTGTGAAATTGATTTGTTTCACTCCATGTCACATCCAGTATAAAGTGCATGTTACAGTCCGACCCGTGTGTGCTTAAATACTGATCGGCTGAACTGTCATCGGTGCTCAAGACAAACATGTCCATCTGCATGATTCTAACTATGATTCTAACGATGACGGAGCTTTGCACAGTAATTACGATTTCAGAGAAGCTCAGGGTGTGTTTGAGGGTTTGCCTGAGTACAATGCCTTTGGTTATTGCATTTATGTTTGCTTTGTTTTGCAAAGCACAGCTTAGACACAGTTAACTGTACCAGTGTAAAGCATTGTAGTTTTGTCACCTGCTCAAACAATCAACAGTGATGCAAAGTGACAGCTAGAGCACTTTGTCCTATTTCTATTCTCATTTTGCCTAACCTTTTTGTTCTCCCTGCTGCCTCCCTCCCTTCTCCTAAATCTCTCCCACTCAATCCCATTTTTCTTCTTCTCTTTCCCAGACCCTTGGGTCCCAGGGGCAGTTGTTCCCGGCTGAGCTTAAAAAGCAAACGGGACCCAAGTCTCCCAAGAGGACTTCTCTGTCTCCACTGCCTCCCGTGCCTGCTCCCCAGAACAATCACTCCAACCTGTTCCTCTCCAGTGCTCTGCTGGGGCTCCCTGAACCCCACCACCCCAATGGAGTCATCCAAAGCACCACTCAGGACGCACCTTTGGCCCTCATCACCAAACCACGCAAAGACTCCGCCCCCCAAGGCAAGTCGCCTCAGTGCGACTCTGATAGTGGGTCAATGCCTGTCAATCTGAGCACAGGGGCCAGCCGCACCCAGTCACAGCCCCCCACTACCTCACCCCATGCCACAGGCCATGGATCCAGAAAGAACAAGAGCCTTCTGGGTAAGGGACACAGCCTGGGGCTGGGGCAGGCACAAGCGGACGCTTTAGCCGCCTGGAAGGGCCTCCCCCAAAACCACTTGGTCCAGTCTCTGGTGGATTTGTTTCGAGGAGGAGAGTCTGGGATTGGGATTCCTGGGGTCAGTATCCCGGGAGTGGGGATACCAGGAGTGGGGCTCCCAGGGACATGTAACCCCACAGCAGGGCTCCCAGCCAATAAGGAATCAGACGACTCTGGAGACGACGATGACGATGAAGACGATGACCTGGAGGAGGAAGACGAGGAGGACTCTGATGACAGTCTGTCAGGTCAGTTTTATTACACAGTGCTGCAGACATCACAGGTATTTTATGATACATTTACTCACTTGCTTCAGTCCACCACTGAATTATCCACAGTGGTCCCAGTGCAGTCAGTCTTTACAGTTGTAGATCTAACGTCACTCCTTTGTTTCAGAGTCTGACAGTAACTCTGACAGTGACATCTCTGGAAAGAAAGCAAAGGAGCTGAAGCTGCCGTCTGGATCCAAAAAGGAATCTTCATCCCGCCGGCTAACCAAAGGCGCAGAACTACTGAACACCTCATCCAATCACACAGCCACCAGCTGCTCCCCCCTCAACCTGCAGGTGATCAAGAGCCCCATCGTCTCCAGCTCCAGTGCCTTGGCCTATCACAGCTCTCCAGGCTCCTCCTACAGCCTGGCATCTCCATTAGGTAATGCACGAAACACAGAAAACAAAACACAAGACTGACTGGTAACAGCAGCAGGCCTATGTAAGGTTATTATAATTCAAAGGTGACTATGAGAGCAGTGCTTTAGATTCTTGTGGCCTAAGCAGAGTTGTGAGATCCTGTAGGGGCATGCTCAGAGCCCTGACAACTTGTTTGGCACAGTCACAAGGTTAATTTCCGCCTTCCTGTGCAGTGGAGAGATTACACAGATCAGAGGAAAGAGGACATATGTGGAGCAGTCAGGAATGTACCAAACACACATTCATGCCTTCGTTTTGCTTCACTGCTATTTAAGAAATAAAGTTACCTTATTATTATTTTTTTGCTATTACCATTTTGTATTACATTGGTTATTGATGAGTGTAGTGGATGTATAAATTTATTCAATATTGTTGCTGTCTATTGTGTAAATACAACACATAACATAACACATACCATATAAAATTATTTACATGTATGATATTGTAATAATGTATTTATTGTATTCTTTCCAGGATTAGTCAAAAAGAAGCGAGTGATGGATGAAAAGGACTTGATGCTGCCTGTGGAGTTGGGGTGTGTTTATTGTTACATGTTTATTTAACTTGGAGAAAATCTTTTTGCATTAATTATTCCTAATAAATGATTCTGCTTTACTGCTCACAGATGGAGGAGAGAAACAAGAATCAAATCAGTGGCAGGACGTCCCCAGGGAGACGTGGCCTACTATGGTCCTTGTGGGAAGAAGCTGAGGCAGTACCCAGATGTGATGAAGGTACTTGAGACGCTGCAGTGGAGTCTGTAATCAAAGATACATGAGGCAAATGTTTAAGCAAACTAGAAAGGCTGTTTTCCTCCTGCAAGTGTGGGCCGTAAAGACAATTGCATTTAGGGGGTGGTTTGTTGTTTCTTTTTAAATGAGATGGCTCCTCTTCTGCTTTGTACAAACAAATGCTCATGTATCTGTATCTCTGTGCTCTTCCCTGCTGCACTTCGACCCTCTCTGTCCATCCCACTTCCTCATAGTGAGAGATCTTAATCTAGAATCACTTTGTGCTACTTTTTTCACCCCTCCTTCCAAAAATTTTGATTAATTCTCCGTGTTGGGATGCACAACTTTGGTTCAATTCAAAGTTTATTAACTACAGTTTACTGTGTTCACAGTAATCTAAACTATAACAAGTGTTAAACTTGTCTTTGAAAGTAAAGGACAAACTGAGAAGTGTCTAGTGGCTGACAGCCACTGACTGTTAGCTTTAAGTAGGCAGTAAAAGCTGAGCATGGCCACGATAAATAGCAAAGGGCCTGAATTGTGCACCCCAAGGTCGAACCCGTTTCTCCTGAGAGCTTTTGCTCTTTTTGTCCCCTGGCTTTTATGATCATTAGTCGCACTGCACAGTTGTACAATGTAACATTCTCCAACCTAGTGCCTCCAAGATGCTTATCAATGTCGCTAAATTCACAATTTTTCTTGCCTAAACCAACGCCAATATTATTTTCTTTTCTGTAGTATCTATCCAGAAATGGAATAAGTGGCCTCACGCGTGATAATTTTAGCTTCAGTGCAAAGATAAGGGTTGGTGACTTCTATGAAGCCAGAGAAGGACCCCAGGTGACTGCCTTTCATCTCTCTCTCCCTGATCCCTGTTCATCTTTTCATCTAGAGGCAGGCAAAGCTCCAGTCGCTGTCGGCAGGGCCAGAGCCAAAGCCCTCAGTAGCTTTAGTCCACAGACCTCTCACTGTGCATGGAAACATATAATAATACCATGATGTTACTTCCACAGGTGACCACCTGATATACAGTATGCCATGCTTTGTGTCCTGAACAAAAGGATAGAACACACATTGTGTTTACTGCTCACTGTAAAGTACAAAAAAAGTAGATCATAAAACAGTCTGTTCTGAGGCCCTTTAAGGACAGGTCGACTGTGATAAACTCTTCATCATTAGATTACCTCATGTAATCACTGTCTTTACTGTAGCATCCAAACACTATCTGTGTCCATGTACTTGATACACTGTAGTTGATTATTGTAAGATACACTTATCCACATCTAGAGTATGTAATTTCAGTATGATAGTTAATGATTATTGCCTAGTCAGGTTCATTTAAAGTCATTATTATCTTACATTGTTGCATTGCAGTGTCCTTTACTGTTTTCCCTTTGCTTCTGTAGGGATTACAGTGGAGCCTGTTGAAGGAAGATGAGGTCATTCCTCGTATCCTGGCGATGGAGGGTCGGCGGGGACGACCTCCGAACTCTGAACGTCAGTTAGGACCTGACGGTGCCAAAGGTCCCAGACGAAGAAAGGGACGACCCCCAAATGTGGGAGACCCCTTAGTACCAGAGGGGCCCAGTCCTAGTGAGGTCAAGCTTTTACGCAAATTAGAGGCACAAGGTGAGCTCCCAGAACAATCTCTGAAATGGACTCTTTGAATGTGGTTTAGACACTGTGGATGTTTAGTACACTGTAGATATTGTATTCTGGAAAGCATTTAGAGTTCTGTGTACATTTCTCACTGACAATGCAAATCTCCCTGCTGTGTGCAGAAATAGCCAGACAAGCTGCCCAGATGAAACTGATGAGAAAACTGGAAAAGCAAGCACTGGCGCGTGCAGCCAAAGAGGCCCGGAAACAGCAAGGTAAACTAAATCTTCTGTGCTGTTAACATACGCCGAAGTCTGAAAGGAATGTAGCAGTGGTCTTTTATATGGCCAGTTTTCAGGATTGCTTTCATCTAAATAGGTGTAATATAAAGACCTGCATTGCCTCTGGGCCACTGCCGCCTCTAATATAGTCTTTGTATGTATGTCCATGTTTATATAAATCACTTGAAAGCACAGGCTTTAATCTTCCCTCAGCTCTAATCTTTCTCTCTCATATACCTCAAACATTATGCATGCACCTTTTGTTTTTTTCTTTGTGCACAAGATAAAATATGAAAATGTATACATATCTCTAGAGAAGGACTTCCTATATATAGAAAAAAATTATTACTGCTTTAAAACTAGATAAACCTTTAGATACATGAAAAAAATCCATTCCTTTTCCAAGTTTACAGTTTTTTTAACCAACCATCATTTTGTGTTGTTTTAGATGAGACAATATATCGTGTGCACCTATAGTCTGCAGATTTGAGTGTAAGTTTTTGCAGAGACCAACCATTTGACATTGACTTTATTCTTGTAGCGATCATGGCAGCTGAAGAGAGGAGGAAGCAGAAAGAGCAGATCAAGATCCTCAAGCAGCAGGTGGGCAGTGCAAAAAAGATCTTTGCCTCTTTCTTCTTTTCTGTCTC